GGCGCGCTCGAGCAGGATGACGCGCTTGAGCTTGGAGGGCTTGGTCGGCTTGGGCGTCTCGCGCTCCTTCCCGCGGAATGCTATGTGCCGCTGGTTGCTCGCCCAATTCGTGTTCTGCTGCCGCTGCTGCTGCTGCTGCGGATGGTGGTGGTGCTTGGCCTTGCGCGGCGCTCCTCCCGCTCCCTTCGACCTCGTCGTAGCCGTCGTGGCCGTCGTGGCCGTCGTGGTCGTGACCGCTGTGGCCGCCTTGCCGGATTTGGGCGGAGCTGGCGATGCGTAATAACTTCGTATAGCATACATTATACGAAGTTATACGGCGCGAACCTGTGAGACAAGCGGTCCAGTCGCGGCCGCAGCAGACCTGGAGGACGCGCTTGTGCAGCAGCGCTTCGTGCCGTAAGCGCTGCGGATGCGACTGCGTGGCGATTCGGGGAAGAGGTGAGCGGTTTCACTAGTGGTGTCGGCCGTCAGCGCCTGGCGCGCAGTAGCTGCGCTGCTGCGAATGGCTGAGTGGTGGGCGGTGGCCTATACCACGTATTGGTCCTCGAGCTCGAACTCTGATTCTGGGTCGAGCCCCAGCTGCCCAACGTGGCCGCTGCCCCACACGTAGATGTCCGAGACGTCTGCAGGCGCGGGAGACGGGCGCTCTGTTGGCTGAGGTGCGCTCCTACGATTGCACAACACGCAATGGACGCAGCGCCAGGAGAAGGAGAAGACCAAGGCGCGATGCCCGGGCGTACCTGACACAGCGACGTTGTGCTGGGCAGCAAACCCGGAGTAGACGGCAGCGATGCTTGCATCGGCAAGACACTCTGCTCCAGCGATAAAAGTCCTTGTAAATGCCTTTATTTATTTATAATTTATTTTAATTATTTAATTATTTATAACTTGGATGCTAAAAGATCTCGCACTGCCATAATATACTTCAATAGTTGTGTTTGTTGGTGGGTGGGAGTTACCAGAAATGGGTGGGGAAAACAGCCTTGGCGACCAGGTCCAGACCTGCGTTTTGTCCATCTAGGCCCGAGGATCGAGACTGCAGCGAGGCGGTGCTCCGTCAGGTGCAACTTTGGGCAACCACGGGAAAAAAGAAAAAGAAAAAGAAAAAGATCACGCGCGCACCTGGGGCAGACAGAGAAAAAAGAATGGGAAAAAGAAAGATTAACAAAAAGTGAATAAAACAAAGGCGTACACGAACCTGGATGAGCGTGGTGCGGCTGGGCACTAACAGCAAGGCCGAAGAGACAAAGGATTTGGAACAGCGCATAGCACGCATCTCCAAACTCACCGTGCGGCAGCGCATCGCATGGGACCGCAAGTACAGAGCCATCTCGCCATCTTTCCAAATCATTCAGCTTCACCAGAAAATCATCCTACCCCACCTCACTGGCCACCAACAACAGGTTGGATTGCAGAGCTTACCGCCGCATATCGGCTCTGCCCCCCTCTTTCTTTCGCATCAAGGGCCTCCACACTCTCGTACGACTCATACACACCCCCGACACACCCACATGGCACACACGACGCAAATGACGGCACAACCTCTTACCACTGTCAGTGGTGTGGAGCGCAGCTTATACCGCGCAATGAGCTGACCGTCATCCCACCGGCCATTCGCCACCTCTCCACGCTGGCCTATCTCGACGTCTCAAACAACAGGTTACCGCCTACCGACGACCCTTCTTCTTTGCTTCGCTCTGTTCTTACCTCCTTTGCTTGTGGTGCTGCTTGCGTGTGGCGTGACTGCGACTGCGACTGTGATGTGGCACAGTCTCACAGAACTGCCGCACGAGCTGGGCGAGCTTCCGCTGCAGTTTTTGAACATCTCCTACAACAAACTCACCTGGCTGCCGGCCTCCATCATGGAGAGACACCCCAGTACGTAGTGCACCTGTTATTCACCCTCTCATCTCTATTTGCAGTGCGTGTGCCACTCCTCGGCCGCCGCACACTAAGCCGCACGCACGCACGCACGCACGCACGCACGCACGCACGCACGCACGCACGCACGCACGCACACGTTAGACCTGAGTCTTGAGGCGATGTGCAATCCGTGGCAGCGCGATGGCGATCCCGTCGTGCGGGTCAAGCGCCCGCGCATGTCCACCCTCTTCGAGCTGTGTTGTAACGCCCTGGCCGCCAACGAGCCCCTCTTCCACAGCGTCACCAGTGCGCTTCCACACGACACGTGACACGACACGACCCGTACCACCGCACACGCACACCCGCCATTGCTGATATCTTTGTCTCTCTCATAGCTGCGCCGGACTATGGGGCGCTGGTGCCGCTGCACATCAGGGACTACCTGGTGGGCGCCAGCCCGTCGACCGGCAATCCACCCCACGACGACGACGGCGATGATGGTGGCGACGGCGATGCGGAAGTGGGCGCAGACGACGAGAAGACGGGAGGGCGTGGACGCAAGGCTTGCTCCCACTGCGGGAAGGTGTTCTATGGGAAGGCACCCATCGTGCGCGCCTACCCGCGCACCCTACGGACCGCCAGGTACGCCGGCGCCCACTCAACACACCTAGCACCTCCCCACTGACCGCACACACATGCACACGCACCACCGCACACGCACGCACACTACACACATGACACCTCGCGCGCTTCAGATACGGCGAGAACGTGCGGCTCGTGGGAATGTACTGTTCGCTCACCTGCGGCCGTGTGCGCAATGTGAACGGCGCCATCATTCCCTTTGCCTAGCGGTGAACACAGCTGCTGCTGTGTGGTCCGCGCCCATGTAAATAAAAATGTGTTTAAACCACATGCTTGTGTGCTGCGTTTTGTCACAAGCTCGATCTGGCCTTCTCGCCGATAGCTCTCTGCCAGAGTTTGCAGCAAAAACCCCGAAAACAAAAAGGCAAAGCTGCTCAGTTGGTGATGTTGCTCAACCGCCAGGCTTTCGTGTCGGGCGCGGTGGTCTTCGCTTTCGTTCTTTGTTGTTGTTTCGTCGCGGCCGAGGGCAACGACTTCACCCTCTTCAAGATCGAAGAGGCCACCACACGCGGTACCCCCCCCATATACTGTATTTTATTATTTTTTATATTTTTATTTTTATTTACCAGAATGTATTTTGTGATTGGTCCGCGACTCAATGACGCGCCAACCGCACGCAGACGCCGTGTGCAGCGATGGGTCGGCCGCGGGCTACTACTTCCGGCCGGGGTCGGGGTCGGGCCAGCAGGTCTGGCACTTCCACCTCATGGGCGGTACATGCCACAACTGCGGTCTGGTGTGTTTTATGTCCGAACGACTTATCTTTCTTTCTTTCTTTCGTTTTATGTCCGAACGACCGAACCAGGGTTCTGGTGCTGGGACGCGGAGTCGTGCGCCGAGCGGCAGAAGCGGGCGCCGTACCTGATCTCCCTCGCCGGGTACAAGGAGCAGTGGTCCGGTCCCGTGGGCATCTTCGCCCAGAACGAGACCACCAACCCGCTCTTCCACAACGTCAACCACGTCTACGTCCTGTAAGTCGACTTACTTTTGCAGCAGAGTAGAGTGCCGCAACAGCTTTGACTTTGGCTGACTCTTTGACTTTTTGACCCGTCGGCCGGTGCAGGTATTGCTCGAGCGATGCGTGGAGCGGCGACGCGTCAAAGACCCAATCCAACATCTTTCACTTCCGGGGCAAGAAGATCGTCAAGGTTTGCTTACACGCACGCGCACACAACCGCACACACGCACACGCGACACGACACGACACGACACGACACGCGCGCGCAAACTGTTCACAGAAGCTAAAGTGGAGTGGGGAACGATCAGGCTGTGCTCGAGGACGTGTACAAGTACCGTGGCCTGCGCGAGTCGAGCGATCAGCGCCAAATTCTCTTCTCCGGATGCTCGGCCGGCGGTGTCGGCGTCGTCGGTAACCTACCTGCTCCCGGCACCTGCCGCGTCATCACCACCACCTACTCACCACACACGACACGCACACGACACACGACACACGACACACGACACACACGACACACGACACACGACACACGACACACACGACACACGCACATGACACACGACACGCACACGTGTTTGCCGACCAAAAGTGAACGCCAACTTTGTGCAAGCGACGCTGCGCGACCTGCTCAAGAACAATGCCACGCGCGTGCTCAGCCTGGCTGATGCGGGCATCATGTTCGACTATCCGCTCTATCCCGTACGCCAGCATCCTCGCATGCGCGCGCGCACACACGACACACACGACACGACACGTTTGCGTGTGTGTGATGGTGGCTGATGGCCGCGAACAATCGTGTGTGTACGTGCAGGAGCACCTGCCGTTGGACCACGTCTTCGACACGACCATCATTCCGGCTCTGGAACAGTTCACCAAGGGTTTCCCCCTGTGGAACGGCCAACTCGACAGCTCCTGCACGGCCGCCTACCCCAAGCAGGTGCGGGCCACACCATACCGCCGCCTCCGCCTCGCACATGCACACACCGCACACACCGCACACATGCGGTACATGACTCGTCGTTGTAACACCGGCAATGCGTCGTCGTGGTGGCTGTACAGCCGGAGAAGTGCTATTTTGGCCAGTACGCGTACTCGTTCATCGACACTCCTATGCTGGTCAACCAGCAGCAGTACGACGCCTGGCAGCTCGACTGGTACATTCCACTTGGTCTCTTCTTTGCCGCTCTATGCGCGTGCCCGTGTGCGTGTGCGTGTGCGTGTGCGTGTGCGGCTTTTGCGTGCGCTGCCTTCGTCGTTGACGGAGGCCACCGCCATCTACAGGAACATCGGCTACGTGCCGGCGCAGTACAACAGCAGCATGGAGACCTACGCCAACAACTACCGGTACTGCGCAGCTCAACTGCAAACAAAACTTGAAGCTCTGTGTTTACACTGGCATTGGGGGGGCTGCAGGCTGAACACGGTGGAGGTGCTGGCCGTCATGACCAAGAAGCAGCACACCATCTTCTCGTACGCGCCCCCACCACGGCCACGTCAGCACAAGATCTTATCTTTCGTTCATTCGTTCATTCGTTCATTGCTGATCACGTGACCACACGGTGGGGCCAACAGGGGCATGTGCTTCAGCCACTGCAGCACGGATAACAACAACTGGGCCAACCTGCGCCTGAGCGATGACACGGACACCTCCCTGGCAGCTGTGTTTGGTTCGTGCCAATGCCCCTCCTCCTCCTGCGATGTTTCTCTTTGGCTGACCACACCCGACACACTGACAGGACCGTGGTGGGAAGCCCAGGGAACAGCGGCGCCCCAGTTCTACTTTGACCACTGTGGCAGCTTCAATTGCAGTATTGGCTGCCCTGCCCCTGAGTTCTGATGCAACTCTCATTTTTTTAATTTATTTATTTTTAAATAATAAAATAACCGGAGTAAAAAGGCTGGCGTTGCCACGTCACCAACAAGCTGCAGGCTTCATGGGAGTGAGTGAAGGTGGCGGGAGGCCCATGTGACTAGTCCTCGCCAAAGAGTGACACGCTTTCGTCGTACCACCACGTCTTCACCGTTCCATCGTCACCACAGCTGTGGTACCACAGACACAGAGACACACACGCACGCGCACAAGTCAGCGGAACGCAGGGAACGCCTGCAGGCGTCATCCTCGCTCACGAGGTACCTGGCGAGGAGGGACTGGTGGGGATTCCAGGTGGTCGTGTAGACAGTGCCCGTGTGGCCCTTGAGCGTCTGCAGGAGATCGCCCGTCATGATGTCCCATATGTAGATCATCTCATCCTGCAGCACGACACGACACGACACGACACGCACACGCACACGCGCGCGTGAGCAGAGGAGCGAGGGTGCGGCGAAAAGAACAGAAAACGCACCTCAGACGCGCCGACGATGAGGGACTCGTTGGGGCCGAAGGAGGCGCGAAGGAAATTCTTGGACGTGTTCTGGTGGCCCTTGAACCTCCTGATGGGTCGCGCCTGCAGCCGCCAAAAGAAATTGAGGAACTCGGCCGAGCGTGTGCGTGTGCGTGTGTGCGTGTGCGCGTGCGCGTGCGGTGTGTGCGGTGGTGGTGGAAGAGCGGCGGTACCGTGCGCACGTCCCACAGGCGGTTGGAGTTGTCCTTGGACGAAGTCAGCAGCAGCGACCCGTTGTGGCTCATCGCGACCGACGTCACCTCTCTGCCAAGCCCACAGTGAGCATCATAACACGACACGACACGACACGCACACGACACGCACACGGCGCGAGTGGAACACGGACCCGAGGTAGGTGCTGTAGGTTTTGATGCAGAGGCCGGAGGTGATGTCCCAGAACTTGACGGTGTTGTCCTTGGAGCCGGAGATGATGAGGTTGCCGTAGGGGTTGAAGATGACGTGCGACACCGACGCGCTGTGGCCGCTGAACTTCTTCATCAGCTGGCCCGTGCGCACGTCCCACAGGTTGACCGCCCTGTCGTAGCCGCCCGTCGCGATGTGGTTCTTCGCAAAGAGAAACGGTCAATACACGACACGACACGCGACACGCGACACGCGACACGCGTACCTCGCCCGGGTGGAAGTGAACGGTGTACACGTCGCCTTCGTGACCCTTAAACGTCTTGGTGCTGACCACGGCTTGCCGACCGAGATCCCACAACTGCCAGCGCGCACGCACACAACGTTGATAACAGCACGAGCGTCGATTGTGTGCGTGTGCGTGCGTGTCGTGCCATGCGTGTCGTGTCGTGTCGTGTCGTGTGTGTGTCGAAGGCAGGAGAGGGAGGAAGTGGTACCATGGCGGTGGCGTCACCCGACGCGGAGGCCAGGAACAGGCCGGAGGGAGCCGAGGAGACGTCCCACACGCGGGAGGTGTGACCGTGGAGGGTGTGCAGACATGACCCCGTCTCCGCCTCCCAGATTTTGATCGTGCCATCACTGCACCCATTTTCTTTTAGAAAAATAACAATAATGCATAATAATAATAATAATAACATAAAAAATGAGAAAAATAATAATAACATAAAAAATGAGAAGTGGAGGTGGGCCGAACCTGGAGCCGGAGGCGAGGGTCAAGCCCTCCTCGCCCACGAACTCGACGCACTTGACATTGGCCGCGTGGCCGGTGAGGGTGTTCTTCAGCGCGTTGGGCAGCAGGAACGGGCTGTAGTCTTCCAAGAGCCTGGGGTGCGGCATTATTAAAAGAGTCAGGCCAGCCGTCGTGTGCGGTAGTGCGTGTGCGTGTGCGTGTGCGTGTGCGTGTGCAAGAATGGGGAGTTGCACGTACGTGTTGATCTTGGGCGCGACCTTGGGGTGGTAGCGCGTAAACTCCATCTGATAGGCCACGGCCTGGCGGAGCAAGTGCAGCATGCGGTTGGGTGGCAAATCCACGGTGTGCCCTCCCTAGTAGTAGTTGTCGTCGCCGTCATCGTTGAGTAGCTCACCTCATCGTGTGGCACGGGTGGTCGGTGTGTGTGTGTGTGGCGCTGCGCACTGTGTGCGGGCGAGTCGCGTACCTGGCCCAAACGGCGGATTTCCAAATGGAACATGGCCTCGAACTGCTCCACCACGTGCTCCCTGTGAACAAGCAGCCCGAGCGTTAATCGAGCTTGCACATGAAGAAGAGCGAAGAAGAACGAAGAAGAAGAATGCCCGGCCGTGGCTTGCACGGGCGTGGTTTGGGGGGGGGGAGTGCGCAGCGCACCTGGAGTTGCCCTTGGCGCCGTCCCAGTTCTTGAAGGAGGGGGCGTCCTGGATGTTCTTGCAGGTCAGCAGGAAGCACAGGTCCTTGAACTCCTCGGGGCTGCCGGCGTATCGCTCCAGCGGCTTCAGTCGCTTGGTCAAGTGTGTAAAGGCCTGTCGCCGCACGCATCGTTGGAGAGCAAATTAATGCGTGCGGTGGTGCGTGTGCGTGTGCGGTGGTGCGTGTGCGTGTGCGGTGATGCGTGTGCGTGTGCGGTGATGCGTGTGCGTGCGGTGGTGCGTGTGCGGTGGTGCGTGTGCGGTGGTGCGTGTGCGTGTGCGTGTGCGTGTGCGTGTGCGGTGGTGGGTGTGAAGAGGTGGTCGTCGGTACTCGCTGGTACTCCTGCTTTTCCAGCAGCTCGAGATACTGTTGCTTGTAGACCGCGTACATGAACGCCTTTTGGTTTTTGAACATGTTCTTGGTGAGCAGCTTCTCCACCTCATTCCAATCCCCCTCTGTCCAAGTGTGTGTGAGCACATCATGAAGAAGAAGATGATGAAGATGACGATGATGATGATCAGAAGAGGCGGAAGAAAGACGAGGTATACCGAGGATGGCCTTGCGCATGGCCTTGAGCTGTACGCGCTGCTCGAGCTCTTCGTAGATCTTCACGTTGGCCTCGTCCTGGGTCGTCATCGCCGACGACGTGTACCCGCTGTCCTGCAGATACTGCACGATCATGCTGATGATGTCCTGGACGCGATTGACGACAGTGGTGCGTGGTGAGAGCACTGAGACGGCACGGCAGGCACGGCACGGCACGGCACGGCACGACACGACACGACACGACACGACACGACACGACACGACCAGCGAACACGACACGACCAACGACACGACCAACGACACGACACGACCAGCGAACACGACACGACCAACGACACGACCAACGACACGACACGATGTGCACCTCGCGTATCTTGGGGTCGGTGGGGTCGAATATTTCGTCCTCGCGGAGGATGCGCTTCTTCTGGAGGCCGACGTGCTCGCAGTTGGCCAGCCGCTTGCTCACGCTCTGCAGCACCTCCTTGTTGCGCAGCTCGCCGCTGCCCCCGCCACTGTTTGCCAACGGCTTGCTCTCCTGTCCCCCCCCCCCGGTGCAAACCCACCACAAGAAATTGGCAGAAGTAAGCCTTGGGCACACAAAATGGGCCGATGGGATGGATGATCTTGGGTGAATTTGGGAGATGGGCAGTTGGGAGATGCGCAAAACAAAAAAAACAAATTTGATTCATAAAAGCAAAATATGTTCGAACCATTGTTGCAGCTTGAAGACGGAGCAGTATCTTCAGATGTGCCTGTGGATGAGCACACGACTTAAAATAAATACAAAGAGTTTTATTTTATTTTATTTTATTGCATTTCTTTTTGTCAAGATTTACAAAAACCTGTCCTTTTACGATTGGAAGATGATGAAGGAGGAGGCCTGGTTCGATGGCTCGGCTGGCGGCGATGTGGCCATAGATATTGATGGAAACAGTGGGCTTCACGAACGAGGGTCTGGGGCGAGAGGCGCCAGGGCTTCATCATCTTCGACATCGTCAGCACAGCCGAATGCATTCGAAGGGTTGCAGGACAAGATCGTGTACGAGGTGGCTGGTCGTATGTTCCAGCAGGCACAGACTCAGGCTGGGGGGTACATGAACCTCTACGCAAACCTCGAACTCATCAAGCCCTACTTCGATGTCGAGCTATCGACGGTCCTGCGGCGGATCAAACTGTCATTCGTCCCAAGGCAGTCCAGCGAGCTCCTCACATCGGGCGCACCCGATCTCTATGGCCCCACCATGTTGGTCTTCACACTTGTGGCCATCCTGCTTCTCGGGATGAAGCTCAGCCACAAGACAGTGGAAGAGGGCACCCTCATGGGTTCAGCTTTCGGCCTCTGCTTTTCGTACGCGCCCCATCCCTAACCCTCTCCTTCTTCTTCCACTTGGCCCCGCATCTTTCCCAATTAATTAATTACTTTCAATTCCTCTTTTATCTCATCTGCCCTCCTCACCATCTCGATCTGCACATAGGTACTGGGTGATGGGTTCGCTCGGGATGCGCTTCGCGGCCTACCTCTGCGGCATGCCTCTCTCCCTACTCGAAGCCCTCTCGCTGTCGGGATACGGCCTGGGCGGGTACTGCCTCGGCCTCGTCGTCCACTACTTGCTCCACCCCATCTCGCCCGCCCTCTCCACCGTCGCGCTCCTCGTCGCCGGCGGCATGTCGGCCGCGACGCTGGCCTGCGTCTTCTGGGCCGACCTGCGCCAGCGCAACCAGAGCAAGGCCGCCATCACGGCCGGCTGCGTGGGCGCGATCCACTTTCTCTTCCTCCTCTACATCCGCTTCTTCTACGCCTCCCTCTACGACGCCGCTGCCGCCGCCTTCTGAACTCGACGAGATGAAGGTGATGGACAAAAGTAGAAGAAGAAAAAGATGAAGGCGATGATGATGAATGGAGGGTTCATAGTGAGCACGTAGGGTGGCGCGCGGGGATGTAAAGAACAGAAGAAAGGGACTTGTTTACAACAATGACTTTGATCAAGCTCACCACACTTTCGTGTCATCATCTCCATCATCATCTTCTTGCGTGTGCTTGATCGAACATCATCGTCGAAGCGGTGGTGGTCGTCGTCGTCGCCGTCTAGAACTTGAACTCCTTGTACTTCTTCTTGTCCTTGGCGTCCTTCTTGGCCTTCTTCTTGGTGTGTTCGGCCAGGAGGTCGCTCATGTCCTCCCGCTCGGGCTGGCCGGCGGCCTTGACCGTGGCCTCGTACTTCTCCTTGAGCATGTCGTCGGTGAGGTTCTCGAGCTCGGCCGGGTTGAGCGTGATGGCCACCTCCTTCGTCTTCTGGCTCTTGATGAGGTTGACGGCCTCGCCCTTGGCCGGCTTGCCAGCCGCGGCCTTGTCTTCGCTGCCGATCACGTACGTGTGCGCCGAGCCGAACGCGGCGTTGCCGACCTTGGT